TGTCCAGGTAGCTCTCACCTGTCCAGGCAGCTCTCACCTGTCCAGGCAGCTCTCCAGGGTTCTTGTCCTGCTCCAGCAGGTAGGAGGCGTAGCCCATGTTGTCGCTGCTCACCAGGCGATTGGTGTAGTTCATGCTGACGGCGTGGACAGCGAACCAGCTGCAGCATCAAGAGGAACAAAGGACTTATCGGTTACTGGCTTCTGTCGCTAAGGTAGTCCTGAAACTCTGAGGGAACATTAATAAAACACCTGAACAACATTAATGCAATGTGTACAAAATATTAATGAAATGTTCTGAAGATTGTTTATAAAATATTAAAAAATAGATATTTAACACAATTTGTAGAAACTGTTTAAGAAATATAAAAAGTGGCTGAACTATATATAATTACATATAACTATATATAACTACATATATAGTTATATGTAACTGCATATATAGTTATTTATATCTAACTGTAACTGAACTATATTGATTCAACATCTGAGACAATGACAGAAAGTCAGAGGCACTGACACGCGTCTCAAAAATGGATCAAAGTATCAGAAATGTGCAATTCTGATAATAATCAATAATGTTGCAGGTTCTTGTGGTTCTGGTCTCCTGGTCTTACCTGAGCATACCGATCCCGTCTCCGTCCAGATCTGTGAACTTCAGCACCAACACCTGTTTATCAGTGTTGTCCTTATACCTGAACAGTAACAGAACCGATCAATAACAGAACCAATCAGTAACAGAACCAATCAGTAACAGAACCGATCAATACCAGACTGATCAACACCATCTCTGTACCAGCAGTAACTAGTAACTGAAGTATTTCGCTGACAAACACGTCAGTGATGCTGAATGATCGAGAAAAGCTCTGCAGTCATCCTGAATGTGTCCAACTGTCTGTCTGTCCGTCTGTCTGTCCGTCTGTCCGTCCGTCTGTCTGTCTGTCTGTCTGTCTGTCCGTCCGTCTGTCCGTCTGTCTGTCTGTCTGTCTGTCTGTCTGTCTGTCCGTCCGTCCGTCTGTCCGTCTGTCTGTCTGTCTGTGCTCACCTGAGTCTCTCGTCCTCGGGGTTGTTCATGTAGGAGTGAGGACTTCTGTTGATGCTGCTGTGGTCCAGTTCTCCTCGGTTCCTGTAGATCCGGCCGGGCCTCATGTTCTGGTGGGCTCGGTCTATACTCTGGAAACAAGCATCCCGTTACTGACACATGAAGCAGCCGCCCAGGTCCAGTGTTCAGACTGAGACACCTGGATGGATGTAGAACTGATCTGGTGTCAGGTTCTACCAGAACCCAGATGTGTTCTTCCTCCTAAATGTCATGTGTCTATCTGCTGTACTGATGAAGTTCTGAGGCTCAGAAATGATGGAAAAAGTCCATTAAAGTGATCAATCTGGACCCTCCTCTGTGGACTTGAAGGACCTGGACCTCTGGAACATTCACAGTCTGAAGGTAGAACTCTGGTCAGTGGATAAAGGTGCTGCAGGTACAGAACCAGATGTTCTGAGGAGGTTCTGTTTTATGGATTCCTGCGATGCTTGACGGTGCTGCAGGTGACCGTGTTAATCGGACCTCTGACTCACCTTGACGATGCCGTTGACCAGCGGCTGGACCGAGGCCTTGATGTACCCGCTGCTGCTGATCATGAACAGGGTGTACTGGAAGTACCCTCCGGGCCCACAGTGGGTGTGAGTTCCACTCAGAACCACGTTATCCTGCCGGTACTGATCCCCGTACTTCTCCTGCAGCGCCTGCAGAACCTGAACACACACATACGTTTGTACCAGAACCAGGTTCTCACGTCGGAGCTCATTTCCATTTAAAGGTCCTGGAACTTCCTGCAAGGACCTGAAAGGTTCCTTCAGATAAATGAGTCCACAGACGGTACTGATGTGCAGCTGAACTGCACAGACTCTTAAAACGCAGCAACCAATCAGCAGAGTTCGGCCCTGCAGGCTCCGCCCCCACACTTCCTGGACTACAGAACCTCTTTCAAGATGTTTTCAAGCCAATCAGAAGTTCCTCTTCCAGTGTATGAACTTCTGACTGGCTGCTGTGGTTCTCACAGCTGATTGGTTGAACTCATGAAGCATTTGCTGCGTCCTCGTCCAGCTGCAGTCTTTACTCCTGTCGGCCCAGTCTCAGCTCCAGAACCAGGCCGCTACAGGCTCCAGATTCTGGCCGAGTTACTTCTCAGGCCTGTGATTGGGCCAGATCATCATGTCTACCTGGATGTGTCGGATTATCACCTGTCTGACAGCAGAAACTGAAAATGGAGAGACTGGGTTTTACAGGTGTTTCTGGTAAAGACGCAGGTGTGTGTGCGTGTGTGTGTGTGTGAGTGTGTGTGTGTGTGAGTGTGTGTGTGTGTGAGTGTGAGTGTGTGTACTTGGGTCTAACTGTGGCCATCACGTTGTCACACACACTCACCAAAGTGGTCCTCATTACCAACCGGGGACTTTCCTCTGGTCCCTCTTGGTGAGGCTTTAAATCAAGTCTAAAACCTTCTGGTGAGGTTTGATCTGTTTGCCAAGTGGACAGGTGACAGGTGACAGGTGAATGTGTGTGTAAAGAAAGTGTTGTGTCTGATTGTTGTTTCATCAAAACAAGCAGAAACGCTGCTTCAGGGCGTGTGTGTGTGTTCACCTCCAGCCTGAGTCTCTGTGAGATCATCCCAACGTCTGCAGTAACAAACACGACTCTTCTGGTGCCGTCGTCGATGATGAAGGCCCTGCTGTAGAGGCGAGTGTGAATCCCTGCAGCCTTCTGCTGAGTGTTGGCATAACCCATCTGCACAGACAGCAGCATGATGAGACAGCTGGACGGTCCCAACATGAATGGAAATACTTGGAAGTCATTAATAGAATATCTGGAATTAATTAATATGTCCAGAAAAAAATACAATCATTGAAAAACAAAAATCTGAAAAATGTTTTTTGAAAATGTATTCATAAAATATTCCATTTTTTTTAACAAAATAAAACAGCATAAATGTAATAATAAACCAGCTGGAAAAAAATAATGAAATTACAGTGCATAGCATCTGTTTGTTCTGTGTGTTTGTTGTTAGCACATGTGCTGTTAGCATGTGTGTTGTTAGTATGTGTGTTTTGTTAGCTTGTGTATGTTATTAGCCTGTATGTTTGTTGTTACCATGTGTGTTGTTAGCATGTGTGTGTTGTTCACCTGTGTGTTTGTGTCAGCATGTGTGTTGTTAGCATGTGTGCTAGCTGCTGCTACAGACAGTCATGGTGACTGTCAGTTTGTCAGATTTCAGTCATAAAGATTGTGAGTCAAACACAGTCAGCAGAGTTTGATTCCTGCGGATCAGCAGCAGATAAAGTTCATGTTGGGTCGTCCTGAGAACAAACGCTGATCCACGTCTGAACTGACACTGACTAACCCTGTGTAACCTTGTGTTGGTAATTAAAGTGAGTGTTGTGTTTCTGACCAGCGGGATGTCGGCTGCAGGTCCAGTGCAGTCAGCTCGGCCCACTCCGATCAGGTAGGGAGTGTTCTGAGGAGGAGGAGAAGGAGGAGGAGCCGTTGGTTCTGGATCTGAAGGACACAAACAGGAAACTGATTATTTAAAGAAACAAACTGCTGCAGTCAGTGTTCAGTCAGTTAAAGGAGGTTTTTGGTTGATTTCAGCTGCATCATGATAATCAGACATTAAAAACTGATTAATGATTCATTTAGACTTTACTGCTGCTGGAAAACTGGGACTATGTGATGTTTTGGAGGAAGGTTTCATATAAATGATCTTCGTTCGGTTCCTCAAACATTTACTCCAAATAAAGTACAAACGAATGTTTAGTCTCAACTAAATAATGCAGAAGTTCAGAGTTCAGACAACTTCTAGCTAAATTATGTTCAACCAACAAACTACATTAAGTTAAAGTAACCAGCTCTTTCACTACAATCAGAGCTTTTTGTTTGTTTATTTGTTTGTTTTTTAATTCTTTATTGATTGGCACCAGAAACACAGCTAATAGTTAAGTTGTTCCAACGAGGTTTTCCGCGTTTTTTAAAAGGATTTTTTGTTCTAAACTACCATAATTTTGAACATGAGTTTTACTTTGACAAAAAAGAAGTTAATTCCTACAACGACAAAGTTGTTGGTAATTTCTTATAATGAACTGCAGCTGTGTCGACACCAGATAACTAAATATTGAAAACACAAACAAACAACTTTGAATTCCCAGTGATTCATCAATAAACGTGAAAAGTCACCTGAGCAGATTTATCAGATGAAACTTTATGATTTTTATCCAGCAGTTTGTTGAACTGTTTGGACAGATTGACAGATTTCTCTTCTAAATAGTAATTAATATATTAGCATTAGCATTAGCATTAGCGTCGGAACAACATATTCCATCAACTGTATCAGCAGCTGCAGAATAAACTCTGAGTCCACTGTTCAGAAATGATGGACGTGTGTTATAATGAAGGAGGACACTAAAGGGGAAGAAACATTCAGTTATCAAGCTAATTTCAATAAATCACCTCAAGCTGAGCTTAGGTCAAAATCTACTAATGCAGACATCTGAGTTTAAATTACACATAACATTAATTTAATGGAACAACATTGTGTCAGCCACCAAGACGATGTCTGTAACGTAAAAGGTTTTTCTGAATCAGTTAATTAGAGTTTTAGTTACAGTTTTGCATGTAACTGTCAGAAACAGGTTCTTTTGGATTATTAAGTATAAATCTGGATTTGTTCTGTATTTTTCTGAACTCCTCACATGTAAAGTCCTGGTACTGTCCAGTAAACAGGAGACCATGTGTTGGGACTACTTTCAGCAGCGTATTAATTCACCTGTGTGAGTCGTCCGGGTCACCATCAGTGCGATGAGCGTCGCACAGACAATCGTCATGGCGATGAAGAGGATGGCGAGCGTCACCTCCAGAGCTGTAGCTCCACAACACGAAGACTTCCTGCCCATGATGTCTGAGAGGAACAGTGAAGGAACAGAGTCAGAACCGACATGTGGACAGAAGCGTGTTCTGTTTGGACTCGGTTTGGTTACGTTCCATCACTCGATCGCTTCGGTCTCAGCTGCTTCTGTTCTGTTTTGTGTTCACAAAAATAAGCTGCAGGTAGTTTGATAAAAGCCAGAAAGTCTGATTCCTTAAAGACTTTTTTCTTTATTCGACTTTACAAACTATTTTGAAATTAAAGATATTTTATCTTTTTTTGGAGTCGTCACATATTTCGTGCTTGTTTTGGGAAACACGACACGACAGAGAAAACAACAATAAAGACAAACGAATCGTCTCATTTAGGTCTGAAAATGTAATCTAACCTGTAAATATATCGTAAATGTTAAACGATCCTGAACTGAATCACTTCGAAACAACGGCTTCATTTCTGAGTCGATCACCAAAGTGATGAACAATCAGACGATACTGAAACTTCAGGCTCCTGACATGAAATTCAAAGCCACCAAAGTGAGTCCAGCTGCATGAACATGGTTCTACAGAGCAGCAGAACCTTCTCAGTTCTGGACCTCTGGACTGTGTCTATCTATGTCTGCATCATGGCTCCACATGGAGAAGACCTGAACAGAGGAGGAGAAACATCTGACTGAGAGACTGGACAAAGATGGAAAAGGATCCAGAAGATCAGTGAGCAGCTAGAACCCAGTGCAGCCCAGTGTGAGCAGGAACCAGGAGGTCCAGAAGGAGCCACAGCAGCACTGATCAGGGCTGCAGTGGTCGTCCTCCTACAATGACTCCACGGACAGTCAACTACTGTCACTATGGAGCTGTGGACACCAGACAAAGGCAGCTGCTTCAGACTTGGCACAGGGCTGATCAATGGAGACCAGAGTTAGTGTGAAGCTCACACAGTGTGAAGGACACTTCAGAACATCAGCCTCTATGGACGGAGGAGCAGAACTAAACCTGGCTGCTGCTCACAGCTAAACTTCCACATCAAAGTTCACCAGAGAACATGAACAGAAGCCTGATGGATGCTGGAGAACATCCTCTGGTCAGATGGAGATCAATGTGTTGGGCTCACATGGAGTCCAGATGTTTGGTGTGAACCTGACCAGGACCACCACAGTGGATCATGGTCCTGACAGTGAAGCACGGAGGTGGCAGCATCATGATGTGGGGCTGCATGAGGGCAGAAGGTGTTGATGACGTTTCTAGAAGCTCCATGAATGTCTGAGGATGAACCAGGATACTGGCTGACCAGATGAAGAAGAGGAACATTCCAGCAGGAGAACATCCAGAGAACAACATCATCAAGAGCTTCTACACCAGAACCAAGCGGAACCAGGACCTGGACAGTGTGAGTCCTGGTCTGAGTCCACCAGAACCCTTTGAGGTGTTTTCCAGAGAAACGTAGAGCCTGAGTTTAACATGTGAATCTGAACTGGTGGTTTGTAATCTGACATCAGAGACAAAACTCTACTCGTAGAAGTAATCTGATTACAATACTGTAATCACTGTAGAAGTTGAAATCAAGCAGTACCCTACCTGGCCAAAAGTATGTGGACAGCTGACTGTTTCTGCATATTGTGATTAATATAGAAATATCCTAAAGTGTCCATATACTTCTGTAACTTTGTCTTCCCTAATACATGTGAATTATGTTGTTTACATAAACACACTCTATGTCCAAAGTGTGTAGACGGTCTCGGGTTACATGTACATGCAGTGTAGTGATGGGTGTCCACTTATTTTTGTCCATATTCTGTACCAACAGAAACTGATACACAAAGAAATGTGCTGATCTGCATCCACATGGTCAAAAGTATGTGGACAGCTGAATATAATTGTGTATTATGATTAATATGGAGTTGATCCCAAAGCGTCCACATACTTTTGTCTCTGTCTTCTTTAAATCATTCGGTTAAATACTTGATGTTACTCACCTGCAGAATGTAGAGCCTCAGAGATCCGGCAGAGAAGCGTTGGTGAGTCTGATCTCAGGTGTGTTTTACAGCTCAGGTGCAGCAGTCCGGCTGTTATCAGGCTGATAGAAGCTTCAAAGGTCAGCAGCTAATCATCACACAGATCACAGCAGAGATTCTCATCACTGATCCCACATAAAACACGATGATAAAGACCCAACAGATGGACGCAGCTCTTATCAAACTGCTCTGACCTTGGAGACTCCTGATAAATCTCAGATCCATTTGTTTGTGCGACAGCTTTTGATCACATCACATGACCTTCACCATGAAACAGAGCTGTTCCTGCTGAGCAGATAAACTTTCTATTACCCGCCTTCAGCCTCAAGAGGCCGGCCGGGGCAGACGTCTGCCTCCCTGGACCTGGTTCTGCTGAAGGGGCTTTTATTTAATTCAGTGTTATCTGAACACGTCACCTCACAGCCTGAACACAGTCAGGTTCAGACCTCACAGGCTACAACAGAGAACCAGCGGTCCAGAGCAGCCTCTGGACTTCCTCTGAGCAGGCGGCTGGTGGGAACGAACCAAAACCCCCCAAGAGAGGAAAACACCTCCGACAGAACCAGGCTGAGGGAAGGAGGCCATCTGCCTGGACCGGCTGGGGGGGAGTGGGGGATGGGGGGAGGGGGGGATGGGGGGATGGGGGGGTAGCGTTATTAAGACCTGCTCAGAAAGAATGATTTGGATCTGTTGGCGGCTTTCCCTCTGTGATAGAACACCGTTAGCCTCTGATGCGACCTGCTGAGCGCTGTCACAGGACCTTTGCTGTCAGTGATCTGTCCAGGAGGCCTCGTGGCTGCAGCTACAGTTCACTCCCTGTTCTGATGTCGTCTGGTTCTGATTCCTCCTCTAAAAGTTGTGTAAATGCTGATTGTGTGTTTGTTTGAGACAAAAGCAGCTGATGAATAAATGTAGAACCACAGGAGACAGAAGTTGTTGTGGGCGGTTCCTCGGTGCAGAGGAACATCCTGAAGCCCTTCTGTCTCCTGTTCGTTCCATCAGCTGATCCAAACTGTGCCCGAGGTGGTTTACTGTCCAGCCAACAGGCCGTGCTGCCTTCATAGTCCCTGCTGGCTGTCAGGCTGAATGAGGATTCTCAGGAACGTCAGATCTGCTGAGCGAGGCTTTACGGGGAAACCAGGCGCTGATCCAAAGTGCCTGTGGCCAGACGGCGAGGTCGGGATTACAGTCGACACATGAATGTGAAAATGTTGCACAAAAATAAACAGTTTATATGCAAGTTAAAGTACTGTAAAATAATAAATAGAATAAATGAAGTGGTTAAAATATGTTGGTGAAACACGGGAACATTCAGAAACCACAAAATGTTTTGTTTGTTCAAAAATGCAAATTTCTGTAAAATAGTTATATGTTGGTTTATTTAAATTCAGTAAAACAGTCACATGTTGTAAAAGAACAAATTAAAACAGATTCAAACAGATTTTGATGTGGACATTCTGTGATTTGTTTCTAGATCATCTGTAACTGAACAAAACATTCATGAACTAACAGTGAACTGTTAAAAAGTATTAAAAACGTCATTTTGTTGATCTGTAGGATGAACGGTAGAGAAGAAGGTTCTGATCATAAAAGTAACGATGAGCGAGGTGCATGTCGGTGTAGTTATAGTCTGACGGTCAGGACCGAGGTCAGCCTAGGGTCCGGTTCTGGTGGCGCTCCCTCTGCAGGAACATGTGACTGATGTTGACCTCAGCTGCTGCCATCACGTCAGCGTCCTCGGTTCTGTTCTTCACTGCAGAAATGTGAGAAACAAAGACAAGCCGGTGAGTGTCTCCACAGCGCCGACTGCTGCTGTATGAACCTGTGAAACGTGGACCTTACTCAGGCATCGCATGCAGAAACCTCCGACCTGCTGCTGTTTGTGCTGCGAGTCTTTCTCCAGTAAAATCCAGTAGAGAGCAGCAGAACCAGCAGTCCCAGTCCGAGAAAGACGCCCCCCAGAACCATCGGCCCGGTGTTGGACTCAGGCCGCTCTGCAGAGACACAAGCGCTGATTACAGACAGTGGAAGCCAGAAGCTACATCAGGTCTACTGGCAGAGCTGACTGTGACTCTGAAGATGCTGCTGTTTAGTTCAGTCCTTCATGTCTGCACTCAGAAACAGACATGTGGTTGTCCAGCCCGTCGCTGTGTTGAGCTGGTTGAGGTGGACACACGTCAAGTTCTGCTGGATGCTGACGGATCTCAGCAGAAATAAACCTCAGATCAAGTTTGGTGAAGAAAGTTCTAGAAACCATAAAATAACCCCAACAACGGGCCACAAAGCTCCTGGAAGCTCCTGCTGTCGTCTATCCAGAGATCAACCAGTGTGCTAGACCTCCACCTAGTGTCAGGATGACGCCACAGCTGGTCCACATGAACAGCATTGGTAGCCACCTAAACCAGGACTCATGTGTCTGTAGCGGCTAACACACCAGCATGGAGAAGCTCTCCAACCCACATGATGCTCTTAATGATAGAATATAATTACTATGGTTATCCATGAGTTTTCTAATTTATTGTTTTACAGAAAACTAGCAGCACTAGTAAAGCACGTTCATATTTCTTGATTCAGATTCTGGTTCTTTACTTGGATTCCTGGACAGACACATGCAGCTCTAGTGGTTGAATGTGATGCTTGATTCTCAGAGGAGCCCAGTGGCTCAGATCTGGATATAAAAACATGAATTCAGTTTGAGATTCCTCATTGCTGTTCAGAACGGTCAAACACAGAGAGCTGAGTGTGAGTTACTCAGACTGACTGATCAGTTATTAGAACAGTTACCAACTAATTTAACAGTCGGTAACTAATTCATAATTCATAATCACATCAGAGGAGGCCTTTACTTTGTGACTGTAATGGTTCTACTGGACGCTGGTCCTACAGATGAGAACTTTAACAAACCCACTTGGTTCCAGCAGCTGAGGCGTCGGCAGGCTGATGTGCTCCACCATGCAGGTGAAGTTTCCTGAGGCCGGGCTGACCTTCAGGTGGGAGTGAACCTGGTAACGCCACGCTCCACCAGGCATCTCTGTAACCATGGAAACTGGAGGGTCGGCCATGACGACGCCGTCCTTCAGCCAAGTCTGTCTGATCTGTGGGGGGTAAAAGTTGTAGGAACTGCAGACCAGAAGCTCCGAGTCTCCACTTCGGTCAGACCTCATCCTGCTGACTGGAGGAACTGCAGAAGGAAACACAGTCAGCAGCTGCACAACATGGTCCAGATTTAGACTGCAAAGAAAACCATCCTGCACACTGAGAGAACCGGAGAACGACTGAGCCAAGATCCTGTGTCCAAATCCAGACTGATTAACTGGTGGAGGCTAATCAACCAGACTGACAAACAGCAGAAGAAGGCAGCAGTGACAGATGCAGCAACCCCAAGTGACACCAGAAGAAGCTCAACAGACACCAAGAGCTGAGAGAGGATCTAGAAAAGATATGGAAGGTGAAAGTGTTACACCACTCAGACCACGACAGTATGGTGTAGAAACACGAGCTCACTTTTATTACTTCACCGGCAGGACTGGTAACACAAACAAGCTGTCGGTGCAACAGCGGGCACACACACTTCACTTTTCGCGCTCCAACATCTCACACCCACGGCAATAACAACACACCGAAGAACACAACTTCTTCTACCTGGCAGTAATCTCACTACCCACCTCTATGTACTGCCCCCTACTGGATGGTGTAATTATGTCTGAACCAAATAACTGGGAGCTTCTGCTTGATCAACTGCATAAAGTGTAAATACATGTACAATATATACATAAACAAAAAGAACATCGTTCCAGGTGTCACAAAAGCAGCAGTGGCTTCAGCAGATCCCTGGAACAACATCTGAGATGTCTGTGACCTGACAGGTGGACTGGATTACCTGCTTTTCCCTGGATGCCTCCGTACAGCTGAGCAGCAAGGATTTTGCAGTAGAAGTCCTCTTCATATTTTCTGATCCGAAGGTAGTCTGGATCTTTATTAACCTCGCCTGCGAACGTTTGTCCATATCGTGTGAATCCAACCACGGTCTCTGTCGAGCTGTTGTACTGTGCCTGCAGACGTCCGTTGTACTGATACTGAATGCCGTAGTTAACATCGGTCTGTGAGCCCCGCTCCACAAACTGACATGTCATCAGGATGTGGAAGTAATCATCATCTGCAGTCCTCCCTGTCAAAAACAGCACAATAGATCTAGCAAACATCTCAAATGTTTAACACATTATTCTATGAAGGGTTCATGTCTTAGAGAGCAACAATCCAAGTTCAAGCTTGGGAGGAGTTTAACCTTCATAACCTGCTCTCAGCCATCAGAGAACAACCACTGACCTGCTTCATGTTTCATTCAGTTCAAACCTGATTCATACTGAAATCACTCAGTTTACAAGTGCAGAGAAAACGCACATGGTCTTTGGCTGATTTCGTACCTTTTTGTTGCAGAGATAAGAAGAGCAGGATCAGGGAGAGCAGCCGCTGTGGATCCATGGTCAGGTAGATAAACAGGAAGTGAGACTTCAGCCAATCAGGGCACAACTTGCAGAGGGATCAGCTGTTGCTGTCTGTGCTGTTCGTTGTGTTGTGCAGACCAGGTGAGATGAAGGTGCTGATACCTGCCCTGATCAGTGAGGTTGTGGGAATGTGGTCTTTGTGTTTGTATTTGCATGCTTTGTTTGCCATTTGGTTGAGTTTGTTGCATGTATTTTGAGTTTTGTTTGATTTACAGCCTTGAGTTTACTTTATGTTGGCCACGCCCACTACCGAGCATCCCCACCGACCTGGACACTGAGCACACCTGCACCTAGATTGCAGCGATGGCCCCGAAAGCGCAATCAAGATAACAGGGCACAGCCGGTGGACACAAGAGAGAAGACGTGCAGAGAAGGACGAGCAGACAGGAGAGCGCGAGGACGGAGCCAGAGCAGCTGACGGACCAAGAACACATGGAGAGCAGCAGAGGGTCGAGCCAGCAGACGCGTTGTGGAGCATTGGAGGGGGAACGTCAGGCAACCCCCCTCCTCTCAGCTAAGTGCTAATTTTTTTTATTTTACTCTCCTGCATGCACTCCTGAACCAGAACCTGTTGATCCAAGCTTCTGAGTGTTGACAGCGACTGTTTTACTCTCCCTCAGAAGGCGTGAGGGCCGGACCGGAAGCAGAGCGGATTGTGACGAGGCTGAGATTCCACGTATCTGGACACCTGACTCATCTCAATATTTTATTCTTTTTTTAAATTGTAATAAATTCTGTTGGACATTTTAATCTCTGGTTTTATTACACCGCTCACCCCTGGATCTGAATCTTGTTTTTAAATGGGTCCTAGTCCCTCACTAGGTGGCGTTGTCTTTTATTATTTTTAAAGTTGTTCTTTTTTTTTTTTTTTTCGAAAAAAAGTTGTTTTTTTTCTTGCACCCACCACTCGGCCACAAGGTCACACAGTAACTGAACCCTGATGTCACTCCCTCATATTAACTGAGTCTATTGACTTGACATTTTAATGGACAAACAGCCACACTCTGATCCAAGCTGCCTCCCACTGTGTGTCCACAGGATCTTTCAGTTCATTGTGTAGTGAAACGTCCCATGTCGTGTTCTGGAGCGTCACCCACAAGCTCATTTGCATAAAGCAGACAAACCTGAGTTACCTGAAGAACACAGTGAACAGGACACAACATGCAGCTGATCC